GGCGCTACGTGGAGCGGCTCACGCAGCTGTTGGAGGAGCTCAAGGCATGCTATGACAACCCCACTGAAAAGGCACCTGGTCCTCACCTGGACACGTTGCTGCCTCTGGCCCCTCTCAGTCCCCTCGGTGACTGCAGGTGTGGCATGAAATTAAAGGTGAAGAATAGACCTGCAGCGTGTGTGCTCTTTTGTGTACTGCATGGGAGGTGCGGGTGCACTCCAGATGACAGCTCCCGGGTGGCCTTGACACTCCCAGAGACCTTCAAACAGGTCCTGGATTGAGTCAGGGTCCTGCTGGGCCAACGGGCTGCATGGCAGATCAATCTCAGTTGGACTGCTGGGCCCCAGTCAGCCAGCTGGCCACCTTCTTCCCATCTACTCCCTACATCAATTATTCCGACACCCAGGCCTGCCCCTCCCCTGCACACTCCTTACCCCTTCCCAGCTCCGCCCAGGGGCCAGCCTAGATCGACTGACCCAGGACGTTCAAAGATCAGTCTGAGAAGGGGGCTGGAGACATCTGGGGCTCCGGATCCAAAGATCTCCCCCCACACAACAGGGCTCGCCCTTCCCGGAGGCGCCCTAAGACCAGCTGGGCCCCAAGGGCTCTGCCCCAACAAGAAAGTCTTCCTGCAGGCCAGGGCCCCGAAACCTTCCCCTGTCCCCTTCTGGAGCCCTGCTGGCAGAGGATGGATGACTCCACAGCCCTGCCGCCCTCTGTTCCTGCGAAACCCCGGTGGAAGCAGTGGCTAGAAGCAGTGGGGATCTTCCAATATGTGCTCACTTTTCTCTTCATGGGTAAGAGAGGCATGGGTGCCTGGGCTCTGGCTGGGAAGAGGGGACTGCTGGCCTGAAGGCTTGAGGTCAGAGTGACCCCACCAGATGGCAGGATATTTGGGGGTGGGGGAATGGAAAGTGGAAGGTGGAGAATGGCTGGGTGCAACCTCCAGGTTTCAGAAATAAATCCATTTTCCTTTCTCTCTTCTTACGTAGGCCTTTTCTTTTCCTGCCTTGTCATCTTTCTTCTCTTCACACGGTTCTGGTTCATTTCTGTTTTCTACTTGACGTGGCTCTACCTGGACTGGGACACGCCCAGCAAAGGTGAGTTTTGCACAGGGACCCAGGTAGTGAGAGAAAGTGGGAGGGAGCGCCGGGGATTTTTCCACTCATATCTCTGTGCCCTCAGGTGGAAGACGTTATGAGTGGTTGAGGAACCAGACGGTTTGGAAACACTTAAGGGATTATTTTCCTATCAAGGTAATGCGTCACCCTCCAGAGAACCGATTCCTCTCTCTACCCCGGCTCCCCATACCTATTCACCCTTCCCTATCTGGAGCTTGAGCCCTGGTCGCTGAAGCTCAGACACAGGGGCAGGGGGGTGGAGTTGTGGTCAAGAGTGGTCCCCTGTGCCCTTGACTCGACCCTGGGACCTTGGACCCTGAAGTCTACTGGGGTGGAGGGCAACCCTTTTCAGCTGGTGACTTGCCCTCTATGCCTCCCTTCTCTCATCCTGCCCCATACCCCAAAGCTGGTGAAAACAGCAGAGTTGCCCCCCGACCGGAACTATGTGCTGGGCTCTCATCCACATGGGATCCTGCTCGCTGGATCCTTCTGTAACTTCGGGACCGAGGGCAATGGCTGCTCCCAGCACTTCCCTGGCCTTCGGCTCTCCATGGCGGCGCTGGCCATCCTCTTCTACCTCCCAGTCTACCGAGAGTACCTCATGTGCTTAGGTGAACCTTGAGCTGAAGGTGTGGAGGGGACCCCTGGCCAGATGCTTCCCACCTCCACCAAAGACACCTTACACCAAGACCCCACCTAAGACAGGGACCTGACTGAAACCGTGGCCAGGCTCTTAGTGGGCATTTGTGAATAGCATCGCTATGGAGCATGCTGACGTGAGGACGAGGAGTGGGGGGGGGCGTCGGGAGAAACAGGATGGTGGGCTCACCTTTTCTATACTAAAGGGTGGGTTGTAGGGGCTGTGGGGGGCTTGGTGATTGCCCTCCCCATGCGCACACGCACTCATGCCTGTAGGAGCACGACCGGTGAGCCGCGAGAGCCTGGACTTTCTCCTGTCACAGCCCAAACTGGGACAGGCCGTAGTCATCATGGTCGGAGGTGCCCATGAGGCCCTGTACGCGATCCCTGGGGAGCACTGCCTCACTCTCAAGAAGCGCAAGGGCTTTGTGCGCCTGGCCCTGAGGCATGGGTGAGTAGGCACGCAGGTCCTAAAGGTCGCAGCGCCGCAGCTCACCATGGCTCTGTGGATCCACGTGCTTTCTCAGTCCCTGGACATCTGGGTCCCTGTAGGTCCATGGAGCATCCTGCCCAGCACCTGGAGGCTCATGCCAATTCCTGTGTGCTGTACTCTGTCCGCTTTCCTCAGACTCCTTCTACTCCAAGTGACCAGAGTCAGTGCACATGGACATTGGGTCTGCCTCTGAGGCAAGGCCCTCACTTGTTTCTTTACCTGTGAACAGGGCTAGAACCTGCCTGGCCGCTATGTTGTGACTGAAAGTCCATGTGGTCACTTCTCAAGAAATCGGGCAATGGGACCAGCAGTTAGCATAATGGCTGCGTGACTGGACTCCCACGTAGTCGACTGCGGTTCAAGTCCCGGACCCGGCGGCTTAGACTCACACCGGGTGTGTGTGCGTGCGTGCTCAAGATCCCAGGAGGAGAATGGAGGAGAAGGGATTGCGGCATGGCCATCCCCCCTGGGGGGTGATTTCGCGCTTTCTGTCTCTCTGTCTCTCTCTGTCTGTCTGGCGAGTGCACGCGCCCTATAGCAAAAAAACTCTCCAAAAAAAGAGAAAAGAAATCAGTCCTTTTTTAGTCTTTGTTAGAGAGCCTGTGCACTCACTGGAGAGAGAGAGAGAAAAGGTAAATGCCCCCACCTCCCAGGAGAGATGGCCATACCACAATCCCTTGTCTTCCATTCTTCTCTGAGGATTTGGGCATGTACACATATGCCCCCAGCATGATTTTCAAACCACCGGGTCCAGTACTCCAACTGTGTAGTCAGCCATGTGGGATCCAGCTGCCTTAACCACCATGCCACCTGCTGACCCCTAGATCTTCCTTTAAAAAAAAAATGTATTTATTTACTTCTTTCATGAGCAAGAGAAACAAGCAGAGAGAGAGAGAGACAGAGTATCCCAACAGGGTCCCAACACTGCAGTCCATCCCTCGCTTTAGCCAGACCTGGATTATGGGCATGTGCATGGAGGTCTCCTGACTTGAACCCAGAATCTTCCCATGTGGGATTGCCTTGCAAAGCATTGCTTTTTATCATTGCACCACTGTTCAGTTCCCATTTCTAGAGCTTTTTTTGAATTCACAATCATATGCTTTCAAATGATGTGTATGGTGGCTTTATAAGGCATGGGGAGGGATTTACAGCCCTTCACACACGCCCAACGTGTCCCTCTTGGGACAGTCCAGAATGACCACCTTCTCTTTGTCGCTCCTTCCCAGGGCCTCCCTGGTGCCTGTGTATACGTTTGGGGAGAATGATATCTTCAGACTTAAAGCTTTTGCCACAGACACATGGCAGTATTGGTGCCAGGTCACCTTCAAGAAGCTCGTAGGATTCTCTCCCTGTATCTTCTGGGGCCGTGGTCTCTTCTCAGCTAACTCCTGGGGCTTGCTGCCCTTCTCTGTGCCCATCACCACTGTGGGTAAGTGCCCATCTCCAGGAAAGAGAGCCATTGGCAGTGCACGGGCAGCAGAGACCTCTCACCCACCTGTGTCTCCCCTCTCATAGTGGGCCGCCCCATCCCCGTGCCCCAATGCCTCGACCCCACCCAGGAGGAGGTCGATCACTATCACACGCTCTACATGAGGGCTCTGGAGCAACTGTTCGAGGAGCACAAGGAGAGCTGTGGCGTCCCTGCTTCTACATGCCTCACCTTCATCTAAGCCTGGCCTTGGCCTTCCCTTGGAGACTCGGAGCCAAGGGCACTGAGCCTCTCTATACTGCCATGCTCTACCCTTCCAATAAAGCTGGTTGTGGAAGTCAGCATGTCCAGGTGCGATACCCCACCCTGACTGGGTTTCAGGTCCCTGAATTCTGCTGCATGACCTTAGATAACTCACTTCCCTTTGCTGGGTGCCTTCTCCCTCTGCAAACAAAGATATCTGCTTAGCCAAGAGCTGTCAGGCATCAGGATAGACATGGTATGGGAGGCTGCATGGAGGGGTAGGCTTCGAAAGTGAGCAGGATTTAAGTGAAGAAGTTAGGGCAGATGGTTTCAGACCATGAGCAAAAGCTGAGCTTGCAACAGCTACCTAACAGAGTGGAGGAATGGGATGATCCCCAGTGGTCGAAATGACAACGCAAAGTACATAGCTTGCTTCTGAAGGAAACATCCATCCTTTCTATTTCCTTGGAGCTGAAGAGATCAGATGTAACAAGGAGTTAGATTACCAGCATTAAGACCTGTGGGGAGCCCAGCCTTAGGCTCAACATTATGGAATCTGTAAAAATTAAATGAATTAGGACTTAAGGCCTTAAAACAGAGATTGGCATAAAATAAAGCCAATGAGAGTCTGCTATAATCATTATCATCACCGTTACAGGTATGGCATTGCTAAAATGATGGGTAAGACTAAATGATCAGAGCTAGCAGGTGGCATGGTGGTTAAAGGTGCTGGACTCCCACATGGCTGACCATGGTTCAAGTCCTGGACTTGGTGGCTTGCTTTCTCACTTTCCCTCTTTCTCTGTCTCTCTCTGATCAGAGTGGAAAATAATCATCATCATCATCATAAATAAAGTCAAATAAAATAATTCTTTTTAAAAAGTCTAAGTGATCTAAGGGTCCTTGTGTGGCCATAGCTTTGACTGGTTAATCCTGTTTGCTCACTGGCTTTGTATTTGTATCCAGAACTTACACAAGAATAACTTGTTGGAATATAATTGGAAAGCAACCACATTTGTATTCTACTCTCCTAAAGTTCTTACTCAATGGGAGAATTTTTATTTGTCCCTGGACGAAAATGTGGGCAGCCCCATTGCTTATCCAGGCCATTCTCAGGGATTAAGTCCTGCATTCACTTGAAGTTGGTGTATATACATGTTTCCTTTGGGTATTATTCAGCACTCCAGGATAGGAAATTTTCTTCTTGTTAGCAAGGGCTGCTATCCCTAGACTGCCCGCTTGGCCCAGGAATGGTAGTTTGCAGGGTGGGGTTGACCTCTTCCCTCCCTCTCCCTTGTTAGCTGCTATTACTGCACCGCTTGGGGTTGGAATGTGGCGGCAGAGGTGGGGAAAGGTCCAGAAGCTTCTTGATTTGACTACACTGACACAAGATGGCTTTGTGTTCTCTTGGCCTCCAGCTCTCTAAGGCTGATTCGTTTGCCTCAGGAGTATGAGGGAATTTCTGAAATTTAATGGAAAAAAGGAATCAAAGTATGAGTTTATTTTGCTGCAAAAACTTTGGAATCTGTGCATAGCTTTTTTCATATTATGCATTTTCCATGAACATTTTGAAGACTCTCATAGGCCACTGAGTTTGGAATTTTCCCTTTAAATTCCCTCCAGCAGCTTCTCTGCTCCATCCTCTGTCCCTGGTTTTTCTTTTCTTTTTAATAAATATTTATTTAATTTTATTTATTATTATTGTTTTTAATTTGACCAGAGAGCCAGAAAGAGGGAAAGTGAGAAAGTAAGCTGGAACTCAAACTGAGCTTGGCCAAGTAGGAGTCCAGCACCTTACCCACCATGCCACCACCTGGCCCCTGGCCCTGGTTTTTCTGCCAACCCACTTGACATAGGTTTTCTCTGTGGGAGTCGCATTATTCTTCTAGGCTGGTAGGGGTGGAAAATAAAGGAGCTCTAGGCTTGAACACTCTTGGCCTGGACACCCTTGGAGCTCAGGCTGGTCTGAACTGAGCCCTTTGGCCTTCCCTCTTCCTTCCGTGGAGCAGCCAGCCAGTCCAACAACTGGGTTTCTCCAGTGGGTGCATCCCCCAAACGCCAAGGCTATCCCACTCTGAATCTTGAAGCCTTGGTGATCTTGTTAAGGTACGCCTTGACCTGTGGGGGTCGGCTCAAAAAAAAATCTTCCCTCAGACTCTCTCTTTTATCTCCAATCACTTCTCAACCCTTTTGCTTTGAATGAGTTGTTTGTGGTCTGGGCCCTTTAGGGATGCAGGGCCTATTAGTAATTTTTTTTTCCCTTTTTAATTTGCTATAGGGCATATGTGCTCACTGGAGATAGAGAGAGGGAAAATGAGAAAACAACCCCCAGGGAGGATGGCTATGCTACAATCCCTTCTGCATTCTCCATTAGGATTTTGGGTATGCACATCCATGGTCCTGGCATGTTTTTCAAGCCATTGGGGCCGGGACTCCAGTCACAATCAGTCATGTGGGATCCAGTCGCCTTAACCACTACACTACTGGCTAGTCCATGCAAGGCCCAGTTATTGTGCATCCGTGCCTCAGCTTGTTACGAGCTTGGACCTTAGCAGCAGGTATGTTTTCCTCTGGGTTCTTTCCCTGAAGGACAAAGGCATCGACCTCAATTGAGAACTGGTCCCCTGGGTCTGGGAGCCGTGGGGATTAGATCCCTCTGGACCTTCCTCCAAGCCCCCTGCCCCTTCCTATCCCTGTGAGTGCCTCTGTGAGGAGGCAGGGTGTGGGCGAGGAATGGAGCCTTCTCCATTCTCCTTCTTCATCCTCCTTGTAGGACTCCAGGGTGGGAGGGTGTAAATGGGGGGGGGCTTCATTTCCCACAGGGCTTCTGTCTGAAATCCAAGATCAGTGGGTCATGACTGTGGGGTGTGGGCAGGGATTGGCCTCAGGCAGAAAAGGAATGAGAAACCAGGAAGACCAGGTGAGAAAGAAAAGCTTGTCTGGCTGAGAAAGCAGAGTTGGCCCTGGAGGCAACGACGCTGGAAAGGGGAAACTTCTCCCCACACCTGTGAAGCCAGTTGGGCAAGGTTTTTAGGGAAGGGGCCAAGTCTGATCTGAGTAGAGAGGAGGCCTTGGGAGGGGACATCCTGGTGGGGGAGAAGTCACAGCAGGACACAGAAAGGCACTGTCTAATCAAGACCAGGCTCTGTCTGTGGAAGAGACTTGGTATCTAAATGTGGGTGTTGGGGCTGGGGTGTAACGAATGCGATGTGTTCTGTTACTGCCAAAGGTTGTGGAAAGACTGTCCAGGGCACAGGGAGTTAGGGACACATCCCTGGACAGTCGCAGCCATGTCTCCATTACAATCCCTCTAAGGTCCACTTCTGCAAGATGAACCACTTCCCTGGTTACCATGCCAGCTTGGCTTCTCTCCATCCACTATGGCAGGGTCTCCTGTGGCCTCTCTGCCACACGGTCAGTCTTGGTGTGTTACCATCTACAGAAAGCCAGCCCAGGCTGGGAGGAAGTGTAGGTTTCAGGGGCCCTGCCACACCCCCTCACACTTCTCTGAGCCTCCCAGGCATCCTCTGCTTCCAGCTCTAGTCCCAGCCTTGCCAAAGGTGAAGGTCCTTTGGTCCCCATTTTCCTCCTGACAGCTGGTTTTCTAGCCCTCCCTCACCTGGTATCTGTGTTGGGTGGGACTTGCCTGAGGGGCTGGAGCCTCATATGGAAAACAGTAGAGAGTCCAGGTAGCAGGTTGAAGTCACACAGCCTCCCACCAATACATCCAGACCCCAGACCACAAGCCAG